CCCCGCCCCGCCCCGCCCCGCGCCGGGACCAGGCTGAGGGGGCAGGGGGCAGGGAGCGGAGCTCGCCTCCGGCGCGGCCCCGGCTTCGCCCCCGCCTCGTACATAAATCAAAGCAGCCCCCGCAGCGCGGCCTCGCCCTTTCCCCACGAGACGCTGACCGTGCTCAGCCAGCAGCAGCCTCTGGGAGGCGTGAGAAGGACGCTTGTCCTGCCTCGGGGAAATGGCCGTTGCCGGCTCAAGCGGGCCAGGCGCCGTTGGCCAGCGGCGGGAAGGTGCTGCAACTGTCTCCCGCGCCCGGGGGTCTGAACCCGCAGGCGCGGTTTGTGGTTGTCGGTGACCGAAGCAAGGGGTAGGGTTAGGGTGGCCATCCTAGAGGGCCCTCCGGGTGTCCTCTGCCCACGAAACCCGACGCCTTTATTCGTACATTCACAGATGTTCAGGGCGGGAAGGGACCTCGCACCTCAGCAGGTCCGGCCCCGCTCCAGGCAGGAAGACAGCTGGGGTCCAGGGACCCCAACGACTGATGTGCTGCAGCGCCTTTTTCTTTTATGTTCTCTATTTTTCTCTTGAAAAGCAAAAGATACTAGGCTGGGACTTGGGACTCGACTTGGGATGCTTGACTGGGACTATCGAAACAAAACCCACTGCCTTTCTACCCTCTTTTTTTCTTGAAGAGAAAAAGATAGTAGACTGGGACTTGGGCTACGACTTGGGATGCTCGACTGGGACTATTGGTACAAAATGCAACGTTTTTATGTCCTCATTTTTCTCTTGAAGAGAGGACGTAAAGGCGTCAGGGTTCATATCCATAGAGGACAGAGTAGCAGAAAACTGCGATGTCCTCTGTGACGGCCACCGTAGCAGCAGCCTCTGGGAGGTGTGAGCAGGACGCATCTCCTGCTTGCAGGAAACGTCCGTTGTCGGCTCAAGCAGGCCAGGCCCCGCCGCCTTGTCTGTTCTGCTGCAGTGTTTTCATCCGCATTAGCCAGCGGTGGAGAAGGTGCTGCGATTTTCTTCCGCACCCAGCAGTCTGAAACCACGGGTGTGGTTTGTGGTTGTCGGTGACTGAAGCAAGCGGTAGGTGATGAGTTGTATGGTTAACAAAGTGACCACAAGTGGCAATGCTGAGCAACTCGAGTGCGTGCATAGCGTGGCTGTAGCTTAGCGACTCTCAACCAGGTGCCGTGAGATTCTCGTCAGGGTGCTGCAGCGCGCCGTGCAGTATTAGCACAGTTCGGTGTGCAAGCACCTAGATACAATTCACAAGCCAAAGCCAGAGATTTCAAAGAAGAATCCATGGTGTCAAAAACGTTCTGATTTGTTGGGGTTTTCCTGAGTTCATAGATTTCACAGACATTTGGGCTGGAAGGGACCTCGCGAGATCGAGTCCAGCCCCCTGCCCCGGGGGCAGGAAGTCAGCGGGGGTCAGATCACCCTAGCAAGATAAGCATCTAAGTTTTTTTGCAACAGAAGAATCGCTCTATTATTTTTCCATATTTATTTTTTGACATGGGGAGTCACTGAAAGTGTCAGAGAGCTGCCTTGAGTCTAAAAAGTTTAACTGCTGCCCTCGCTTCATCATGCAGGCCGGGACTCTGATAAAGTTAGACGCCGCAGGAATTGGGTGTCTTAACTCTCTCAGTCTCAGTTGCAGTTGCTACCGCTCTCACTAGCTGATGCTGGATCAAATCCTTTCTTTGCCTCTTCTTCAGAGCGCTTCCTGAGAACTCTGCATGAATAAGAGCATCTGGATTAATTGATCCAAATGAATTGCAATCTATATGGCAATTGAACATTATAATGGAGGGAATAGGAAACAATCCAATTTAAGATCTTCCATTACTGGCAAGGTTTCAAATCAAATTGTCCACTGTACAGCGTGTGCCGTATGCTGCCGTTTCACACGCAGAAAACACAGGTGCAGAGAATGGCTCTTTATCCTACTGCGGAGGGAAATCATTAAACGCGTAAATGACTCGCTTCAACTAGTTTCCCATAAAACATTTCTGTTCGAACAGTTGCCTCCTTTTTGAAAGCCTCTGCAATAGGAGGTCAGTTCTTTCCCTTCTGTGGCTAGTATCTTGTCCGTGTTTTATCTCACAGCTAAACTGTGCTGCCACCTAATGATAACTGTGTGCCATCGTGACACCGTGGCTGAGAAGGATGTGGGTGAGCGGATGCAGGGGGTATTAAGCCATTGAAATGAGAGAAGGCAAAGTCCTGTCTCCTTGCCCAGCCAGGCTTGGAATGAAAAGAATATAGCCTAGGCTTTCATATGATCTAATTTTAGCAATCCAAAGCCATGGAGCAGTCACCCCTATCTTATCAGCAACTTTATTCTCGGGTGCTATGTTTCAGTCCTGTACACTCACGTTCCCTTTCTCATCATCATTTGGTGACTCCCAGGTGCATCTCGGAGCTCCTCCATCTGATGCGTTCAGTACTTGCAGACTCCTTTTCCCTTGAAGCATATCTCTAGGGAAATTTGCGGAGAACCTAGCTGCAGAAATGCATTGTTACAGTATCTGGAGGTGTGTCACAAGTCTCTCTATCTTTTAGCAGGGTCTGGAGCTGTACTTGCACACAAAAGGATAAGTCATGTAGAGGGAGGTCAGTGAGAGAGAGCAATAGTTGGGGCAGGGGGAAATAAAACAAGGATATGATCTGGACGCCTGTCAGATCTGTTTGGAGAACTTTCCGTGGCTTCTGCATGCTTTCCTCTCATCTGATTTGGGACTTGGGCTTATTGGCAGCAAAAAATCAGCTTGCATGACGCTCTTGAAGTTTGCAGGTCCTTGTTTGCAGCGAGCATTGCTTTCGTTCTTTGCTGTGTGACAGCTGCCAGATATGTAGCTGTACTGTTGATGGGAGGCAGTAAGCAGCTGTGAGGTTCCCTGTTCACAGTTTCTTTCCTCATTACCTTCACGTTAGCCGTATGTAACCATGGCTTAGGGCCGGTGGCCTCTCCTTGCTTGCCCTGAAGTCAGGTCAGTGCCCATGACATCACAAAGGCTACCTCTTGCTCCCTGGCAATAGCTGAGCTCCCTGTGATTGGGAGGGGGGGGAAGGCATGGTGATCACTGAACCCTGAAGGGAGCAGTTCAGAGGAGGAAGGGTGCTGAGGCCCAAGTAGCTCCCAAGCAATCCAGACTGGAAATCAAATCTGGTAACTAATTTTTCTTGTGTACTGAGTGGTGTTGGTCTTTTCCTTTTACCACTTGTTATTGGGTCTTCTATCTATTGGGCATGATTGTCCACATTTCCAATAACTGGCTGACTCCATTGGGTGAACTGCATGATGATTATTTCCCTCTCAGGGAATAGATGCTTCAAACAGAGCCATTTCCAGAAATTAAAAAAAAAAAAAAAAAAAAAAAAAAAAA